TAACCTTAGATAGGTCTTATATATGCTTTGTTATTACCCTAGTTTTATTTATATATTCTATAACATATCTTCAGAAATTTATCTTTCAATCAAACTATACTCCCAGTTATCTCAGTATTGGATAGATATTTGTTTCTATAACTATTATCAGGTGAATTGTAAGTTTCTTGTTTATTCTAATAGTTGATATTGCATTACTATTTCTTGCAAAGATATATATCATTTCCAGTTTCTCTGAAACAAAGATAATACAATTATTTGTTTTCTATTTTATAATATCTTGGATATCTCTAGCAAAAAGTCTGGTGTTTTTTTCCAATGTTTTGAATACTCTGTATAAGCATATATTATCCGCATACCCGAATCTGAAAGTAATATTTCCCAACAATAGTTTCGCTAGGTACAGCATATAAAGAACTAAAAAAAGGAAGAAGCTTTGTAAGGTTTTGTAGGTTATTGGGTACTCCTTGGTTATAGTTTGTTCGAGCTTAACTTTGACTTTCCTTTTCATTAGAAAGGAGTTAATTAGAAGAAGGAGGTTTTTAAGCCAGCCTTGTTCCATTATCCTGACTAGGAGTTGTCTTTTGAGTAGTGTATCGAATGTCCCTTGTACATCTATAGTAATTATGGTTACTTCTTTTCCCATTGATAATACCATTTCTATATCGTGTATAAAGGATGCCACTAGGTCTATTACAAAGTGTTTGGGTAAGGCCCCACCGTATTGAGAACTGATGATACTATATTTTAAAGCTGTCCAATCTATACATTTGGTAATTATTCTTTCTAGGCCTTTTCCTATATAGGAGAGTAAGACTATAGGTCTCCATGACCTTACGGATGTTATATCTTTTTTGCCAGTTTTGGGCAATATAGCCATTTCAGTTAGTTTCCAAGTTTTCGGGAAATGGCTATGTTCAAGGCATTTTTGGAAAAGTTGTCTTAATGGGTTCTTGAGGTGTTCCTAGCAGGTTTTGAAGAGTTTGATTGTAATTCAATCAGTTTCTAGTGATATACTGGATAACCTGATAATACTTGTTTTGATTTCTTTTATTATGATATAAAAGTTCCAGGGTAGCGATCTTCTTTTTTTCTATTGATCTCCTAGTGGGTTGTGCTCCAGATTGTTTTCTGTGCTGAACCGGTTTAAAACCTTTGTCCTGAGTATTTCGGCTTTTTCTATTGAATTCTCTATTACTACTCTGTTGAAGATGATTAAAGGGCTTTTAAGGTTTGGGGCTAGTTTGTACCAATCTACTATCTTATATAAATCTTTGTTGTTAGAGATGTTGTTTATGATATACCTTCAGTAGTTGTATTTGACTATTCTAACTGCCGTTTTGAATTCTTTTGTTGTTATAGTAGAGAATTGTTCTGATATAGTTTATCTGTACAAATGTTCAGTATAGGCCCTTTTACACTCTGGTGTTCACCAGAGTGCTGTTTTGCCTTTTCCTCGGTCCTTGGTTCCCACTGCTTCGATTGCTCTCATGATTATTTGAGTCAATTGTTTCGCGAAATGATTTATTCTTTGTAAAAAATCTAGGGAGTTATTTGGAGGTATATATACTACTTCATTAGCTATTAGTCCTGCCAGTTTTGGTAATTCCGTTTCTGGGATATAGATGTTATACTGATCAAAGGGTTTAAGTTCTTTGTCTGGGATAATTGTTATCAGGGTAAAATGATCCGAATTATTGTGTAAATTGTGTTATATTTTGGTTTCTGTGAATAGTATATTGGAAAAGATAAGATTGAGTACATTTCCGTCTGAATAAATGAATGCTTTTCATTCTCCAATATAATCCAATTCAGCTAATTCTGTCTAAACTGCTAGTTTGCATTCTTTATTAATACTTTCCGCTTCAGGTTACTATATTTTGTGTTTAACATTAAAATCGCTTCCAATGAGATACCCTGAAAATAATTGTAATCCAGTGATATATATTAGTATCTGCTCTGTTTAAGATACCTAATATATATTTAGTATAGGGTATTCATTTACATCTATCCAAAGTATATTGCAACTTTTAATTAATTGTTTTTGTTAAGTTCACAGTTTTGTACCTTTTCTGATATATATCAATATTTGGGATTGCTTTGCCTTTTTTTGTTTAAAGGATATTCCTATCCATAAGTTTATTGATGTATATAGGGTTTATCCAGGGTATGTTTTGGTTTTTGTAAACGGGAATATGGAAGGTTCCTGTATATATAGGATATTTAATTTGTTTTCAAATACTATTTATAATAAGGTATTGTAGATCTTTGGTATTCTGCCTATATTTGTCTAGCAAATTATTAGATCCTGTATTCTGGACTATTAGTAACTATATATATCATTTTGCCATGTTGAGTGTTTATTTATATAAATCAAATTAAAGGATTTCTTTTATTTCAGTATCTTGTTAGTTGTTAGCAAGGGTTTCCTTATTGAGGTTTGTATTAATAGTTGGTTTCTGTCTTGGTTGGCTTGATGCCGTGGTTCCTTTTTTGAGTTCGGTTGTTGTTGGGCTGTCCCCGCTTTTTTCGTATATAGTGATTTGTGCTTCCCGGCGTTTTAGCGTTGGGGTGGGTATGGGTGTGGGTGTGGGTGTGGCTGTGTCTGGGGTAGGCCCTTCCTTAGGGTTGTCCTTTGACTTCTGGTTAGCGAGTATTACCGCTTTCATTGCCAGAGCTGGTTTTCGTATAGCCTTGAGTTGTAGTTTGGTAGATACTGTGACTTTATTGTCTATTACCTTAGGTATTGTTAGGCAGTTTTGGTGTTTTGTTGTGAAAGGTCCAAAGCAGTTAGTATATTATGTTTTTGTTGTACAATTAGGTCCTTGTAGATCTTTGTATGTATCTTTTCGAATTCTACAGTTTGTATAGCGGGTGAACCTAATGTATCTTGTTGGGTTATACCAGCCCTGGCAGTCGGTGTTGTATCGGGTTATAATGGGTTTTGCTTTAATCTCTTGTACCAATTCGCAAGCGTTAAAAAGCCTAAAACTGTGGATTAGTTCAAGGAAGGATATTACCTATATGATTATGTTATTGTAAGGGTTGGCTCTGTGTTAGGAGGATTTATAGCTGACTAGGGATTAACCTGTTTATGCCTATATCTCCGTTTCCATGTGATTTGTAATGTTGGCTGGGAGTCTGTTTAGTATGTATATCGATATTAGGACTCTGGGGATTGTGTAGTTGTACCATATTATTGATTAATATATTTATATATCTCAACTGATTCGAAGAATAGTTTCTTTATTCTCCTATGTAAAGAGTAATTCTTGAATTGCTAGGTTTTTTGGTATAATAACTTATCCTGTCTTAATGACAGATATAATAGGGATATCTATTAATATTAAATCTGTAATTGCTCTAACAAAAATATTTTTTAGCGTATATAGGGCTGGTCAACTGATCTGGGCTGTAGGGCTGATGGCTATTAGTAGTCTGTAGTCTGTGCTCCAGGCGGTTTGTATTGCCCGTTGTTTGGTGTGTATATTATTGAATGGAGTCTTTAATAAAGCTTTTTGAGATGTAGATGAGTTTGTTCAGCCTGTTTCGTTTTGACTTGTTTTGGGGATCTTAAAGATTCCTGTATAGGTTTTGGTAGTAGTTTGTATCTTCAAAAAAGCTATACTTCTTGTTGCTGATGGTATATACAATAGGCTTGATAATAAGTTGGATCTATCGTTGATGGAGAGTATAAGGATTTCTATAACCCTGATGCTTAGTTTCCTGGTTGCAATTCGTTCGTTTCCTGCGGTGAAGAAATCGATGTATCTATCGATTACATCTATCAGATCGATTATAACCTTTCATTGAATTCTTTCGGTGTATTCATACTTGGCAAGTTTGATCTTAAAGGTCTTTATTGCTAGGTTGGTGGTATTAGTGTTTGCTTTATTTCCCAATGTGAAGATTGATGGTACCTCGTTGGTGAAGGTATACTATCTTCTTTTTAAACGGTTTTTAAGGTTGAAGGGTATCTCTGGGACCCACGGATTAATGAAATTCGCGTTTTCCAGGTCGATGACCTCGGGTGGCATTGTATGAGATACTATTTTGACTCGTATAAAACGATATGTATTATATATATTGTTATAACTCCATAGAATTTGAATTCAGACCGAAATTCAACTTCTGGCGATCAGAAATTTTTCTTCGGAATATTGTGTTTGGGTGTAAGCCTCCCTTGTAGTCGAACACGGGGCACATAAGCCTGGACTAGTCTTTTTGTGTTCGTTCTGCTCCATGGACTTCCAACATATAACCTTTGTGTCGCCTGAGTGCAATTCCTTCACAAAGACTTTCCGTCTCATAAGTTGTAGGGTCAACAACTGTTGAGTATTGGAACTTCATTGCAAAATTGAGCTTGTAGATATTTTGGTGGAACAACGTATATTGAAAGATTGAGTCTTCGGTATAACACTCGAAGGATAACTTGTGTGCCTTGAATTGTGTTCTTAATGGAGCCTCCATTGTCCCTATATAGTTTCGATGATATCCGGACCAGTTACGGGTCTCATTTCTCTAGCTCTCCCAATTTTCCGCACTAAACTCTCATGGGTGTTGACAAAGAGATTTCACTGGCCGGTGGTCTGATGAGAATGGAAAGAGATTTCGAATATCACGTCTGTTGCCTACAGTACGATTTCGGAGCTCACTGCAGTTGAATGCACATGCATACAAAGGAGAGCACATTTTTTTGACACAGACACCGGCTTATCAGTTGGTAGTCAATATTCAATCCGACATACACAGTACTCTGAGAACGTGCAGGAGGCAAATTTGTTTCCTCAAAGATGAACCTGGTGACTATGTTCGGCCACTAATGAAATTAGATCCTGGTATGTAGAATTAAGACAGTACTGATAGTTACCAGTAACTCATTTATACTAGGATCTTCCAGCTTTGTCAAATAATTATACAGAAAGCACCTTTTAAAAACTTTGTTTTCATTCTCTCCAGGTGAAGAGCCACTTCGTTTTACTTGATCATCTTTGACCGTCATGTATTTCCTGCCTCTATTCCCGGCCTTCCTCATTGTCACCATTGGCATAGCACTATATGCCATTGGCTTGGTGGCGCATAGATTCTTCTTTGCTCCTCTGACTGGCTTTCCTGGCCCTACGCTTGCAGCCGTAACTGGATGGTATGAATTTTACTATGACTATTGGTTCAACGGCCAATACATCTTCAAGATTGAGGAGATGCACAAGAAGTATGGTAAGTAGACAAACTCTATTTATTGATGACACAAAGCCTGATGATAGATGTATCAGGTCCAATAGTTCGAATCAACCCCGAGGAGCTTTCAATTCATGATCCTGAGTTCTATAACGAGATATATGTCACCGAAAGCAAGAGGCGCACAAACAACTACGATGTATTTTGCAAGGGAATCGACTTTGATGGTGATTCATACCACCCATCTGTATTAAACATCTCGCTGACGCATGTGATCACAGGCTCTCATTTATTGACGACCGATCATGATCTACACCGACGGAGAAGAAAACCTTTAGAGCCTTTCTTCTCCCGTATGGGGATTTCTCGCCTTCAGCCAATGTTGGCCGAGGTGGTTAGGAAGCTTGAACAGCGATTGATGGAGTACAGAGGAACAGATCAAGTAATTCGTCTGGACCATGCCTTTTCTTCTTTCTCGGGGGATATCATTGGTAAGATTTGCTGGGAAGATGAGAAGGAGTTCTTGGATGATCCCGATTTTGCACCGGAATGGTCGGTAACAATCTAGTGCCTGGCGATATTTTATGCTGATTCATCTAAGGTACAATGTCATTCATACGATTGTTCGATCCATCCCGCTCTTCACAGGATTTCCATCGCTCGTGCAGTAAGTTAAATGCGTGGAATAGGTATATAGTGTTACTAATGTTGTATAGAATGCTTGGATATATCCCGGAATCTGTTCTCCTTTGGGCTTTTCCCCAAGGCCAAAGTTTTACCAGATTCAAGACAGTTTGGCTATCCTTTTGGTTGGAGTCAGATCAGAAGCTAACATGGTCATCAGATTGCACATCAGCATATTCTCAAAGCCAAACTGGAGAAGTCATTTACCAAGAGCAAGTCAACATCAGTAAATGAACATGTGTCACTCTTTCGCTTCATCGTCAACAGCGACATGCCGGAGTCAGAATTGTCGGATGGTCGGCTGGCAAAAGAAGCCCAAGTAGTCCTTGGTGGCGGCACTGCAAGTACAGCTCATACTCTCGGCTTCGTATCGTATTACATTCTTTCCAACAAGCATATACAGACAAGACTTCAGGGTGAGCTCAGAGAGGTCATGGTGGGCTGGCCTCTTAAAGTTCCGTCTTGGGCAGACTTAGAGCGTGTTCAATATCTTCAGACACTTATAAAGGAGGGATTGAGGTAAGCCATTATGTCTATCCACGTCCCTTTGGATAACGGTCTACAGCTTTGCTTTTGATATCGTGCTTGCTGACTGCCTGACATTTATAGACTAAGTTATGGAGTCATGCATCGATTGCCCCGTGTTTCGCCGGATCTACCCATTCAATACAAGCAATGGACAATTCCACCGGGAGTAATTTACCAGCCCATATTTGACGACACTGCTAATATGTTTGTACACAGGCTCCAGTCGGTATGTCCGCATACCTAATGCACTCCGATAAAAATGTGTACCCCAAACCAAGCGAATTCATTCCAGAACGCTGGCTTGGGGATGTAAATCCTGCGATGTATAGAAGCTACGTCCCATTCTGCCGCGGATCTCGAAATTGCTTGGGCATGAAGTAAGTCCACTTTTCTCGGACTAGTCCAATCCCGGACCTCACATTGCTAATGGATCACCAGCCTGGCACAAGCAGAGATGAGTCTGGCTATAGCTGTACTTTTTCGACCAGGTGGACCTAACCTTAAGCTTTACGATACTACCGAGAGAGATGTGAAGCAGGTGCATGACTTTTTAATACCACTTCCAGATGTGCGCAGCAAAGGGGTAAGAATAACAATGGTCTAGAAATCTACTGGGTATAGAACGTGTGACTGCAATTGTTAGGACCTTGCAGATGACAAATCTCTATCATGCGAGTCGCGCCATCGGCGAACCTGCAGACGTTTCTTAAAGTCTCATAGCTAGAATTTGGATCATATTCATCAATCTAGGACCTTAAGAAAATCACTGCATAACTTGACGTTCATGACTCCAGAATTCGAGTCAACACCTGAATCTTAGGCGAGTACAAGGTTCAAAGAGGGCTGCTTGACTATCGATTTGAGACTGAGGTAATCTAACGGCTGCACTAGTGGTGCAAGCAGATATACAGAAAACCACTGATACGATAAGTTTGCCTGCTTCATTTCAATAGTTTTGCGAAATAAAATGGTGTTCCACTCGATCTAGAACCCCCAAGAAGAAGGTAGGAGCGATATTTCTTGATGCATATTATGATACTCATTATGATACTCTAATCGTTGGTGTTTTGATTGTAAAGTACCCATCTCTATAATGTACTACAACGATTGGTTAATATGCCAACCGTTTGTTCAATCTAATATCCGTTTAAAGACCCACTCGGGTCCCCTTTATTCTCCACGCTTCCCCAGTTCTGGATCCACTATTTTCCTATTTATGTACGTCCTGTATTCAAGCAATCCTCGAATATTAAATATATTTCTTCAACGAATAATCCTTAGGGCGCTACCAGACCTTTGTAGAACATCTAACCTTTACTATGTGGTGATTGATACCACTGTAAGGCTCAGTCAGCTATTAGCCATACCTAGAAGCAAGGAGATTGAGGCGTAGTTATGTGCTCATTTCATTTCGCCGACCTACCACTTTACAACTTGGAGTGGATTCATGAAATACTGTCTGATAAATCTACCAACAGAGTCTATAAGTCCTGCTGAACTGCCACGTTTGAAGTGCGCCGCATGAATGGCTTGATTCACTTCCGAAAATTACCACGTGCAGCTATAACCTGCACGATTCCCGTTACCGATCATTGAAGATCTCTTGTTCAAGCAAAGGAAACCTCAATTAGTCCTTCCGGAATGGTGTGGTAACATTACCAGTATTACAAGTAGTCTATATTTGCAAGATGCAGGTAGCATCTGCTGTCATGAATTGAAATTCAGAGATAGAGTATACGACGATTATAGCTACTTGTATTGAAAAGCATCCAGAGAAATCCTCAATACTTAGATTTATAGTCCGAAATTGAGGTTTAGTATGATATAGATTTAATGCTTTGTTACTTCTTTCTAAGTCTACCCAATCTACTTCAGCTCTTTCCTCGATATACCCCAGATATTCCGTCATAATTTCATTCCACCTTCGCCTTTGTAATTCCGCCGTATTACTTGCTGCACTAGCGCTGACGGGAAACAAATGTATCTTCAGCCCGCACCTTGCACATATTTGAAGTAATGCACGAGAGCGGACATAGCTGATATGAGGGAATACTGTGCGGCGTAGTGATTTTGATACTACCTCAATATCAAGTCGAAGAGCCTATGAATGGGTAAGAGAATAGTTGTAATGCGCTTTCAGTAGGAGTGCATTTCGCCCTGTCAAAACTCAACAGCCGTGCAGAAATTATTACAGTATTGCTGATAAGGGTGTTCGTTTCTCGCCCCCTACATGGCTTCTCGTGTAAAGTACCTCGCTGCACTCTCACAGCAGAATATCTTCATCATTGTACAGTCGATTCATCACACAGGAAAGGAGGGTAGAGATTCCTCGGTCCTTCTGCCGCAATTGAGGAAGTGGCAATTCCTACGCCGCAGGATTCTATGCGTGCACGAAGTTACATAGGAATGAATTTTGATCGTCCTGTGATCATCAAGATAATACGATAGACGTCATTTCCGAGAGTTCAAATTCTGCCCGAACTTATTGGCATGCATGCAAATCGCGAGACATGACGTTCAAAAATGGACATGCATCTCACCACTTTGTCGGATTTCGAGAAAAGTTATGTCATAAGAGGAGGTGATTATAGTCCCAGTTCATGTGAAGAGGCTGCGTTGTAGGATTGGCTGGTGAACTTCTGTGGGCTATAGGCGTATATATGTAATACTGGAGATCATGTGATACGGTTACCTTCACTCACCCCTGAGTTGGAATGACGACTGACAGTCTCGTGACGTGACGTGAGACGATTCTCATCGTTCCTTGTTCTGGTGGCCTCATAATGTTGGTTCATTGAGTGAATGAAGTCCACAACTCCTTCGTCCCTCCCGCTGGCTGTCCTCGTCCACCTGCTCAGATCTAAACGCCAACTCTATTTACGCGAATGACAACCGCTAAGCCGTCCAAGTGTTTACTTTCGATCCACGCCAATGTATTGGAAGACATTTAGCATGGGTGGAAATGTGTCCCGCACTTGCGGAGTTATTGTGGGCGTTCGACATTGAAGCGGTGGAAGAGGCGAAACTAATTAGATGGGAGGGATTGAGGACACTTTTGTTGACGGAGAAGAGCAATGTTTAGATTGGGTTGCGGTCAAGGGAAGTGCGCTGCAACTTGTAGTGATAGGGTTTTGGATGGTGTGTCGGAGGTCAAGGGGTGGTGTTATGTCAGGTTTAAGATGTCCGACTTGTCATTCATACTGAACATCCAAACATGGTAAGCCTCTCTAGATATGAGGCAATCATATCGCTGGTTTCACGGACGAATTCTTTCACTTCGAGTAAATCTGAAAGCGTCAAGCAAATGTAATTATTTGGAAGCACCTTGACCATCTTAAGATCCTCATGGATAGTGGCTCAGCTCATCAACATGCAATATAAGCCGGATCTGAAGGGAAGACGTCTAATTAAGAATTTGTTGACTTCTATGGCAATCAACAACTGGTGTATGACGGAACTCGAATGGCTCTAGTGACAAGCCAAGTGGCGAATTCGAGATATTGCTACTGGCATCAGATACTCAGATTCGCAAAGATGACATCAATATGGAAGTATAAAGGAATTATAAATGATAGATGGACAGAACTTGATCTGGGAGGTGTTGGGGAAGGAAGGTCATACCACAGTTCATATGTGGCTCCTGAGATCCCATACCGACATTCGGCTAGAGGAAACGTTCTCGGGGCGCATATTAGAAATGGCTTCTAAGCTATCAACAAAGAAAATATATTCTTCTGGCCCAAGTTTGAGAATGGTACCTACGCCACTCGGTACTAGTAATATGAGACGAGTGTGCAGAAGATAAGCCTAGGCGATGGAGCACTGGATATCAACTTATAAAAATGACTACTCGAGTAGAGCACCATAACACATAACGTTTGTAATGTATTACTTCATGTCATCTAGGGTTTGATACTATTATCTAGCACAACAACTAACGACTACCCAACTAGCAGTTAAATAAAAACCTGAAACTCTGAGAGAAATGAAACCAATGCCTAAAACGTTATACAGGCCACATTGTTTCTACAACTGCTGAAATCAAGCAGTCCCGTTGAAATATACAATCTGATTCAACTCACCTCCTGGAGCGAAAATGGATGTCGCGAGATCTGATTTAGCGAGACTATTCGTGAATAATTCATAGGATATCTATCGAGAGTACTAAGAACTATTAGATGGTACACTTACTTTCGGTTTTGGGGCAATCCATCAGTAGAGCGCCACATATCCCGAACATTGCCTGCGAATTTCTGCGCTGCCGAGTCCAGGCTATCCCACGGGACCTGTTTAGTCAGTAACATCTACCCCGGACTAGACAGCCAATTACTTTTCGATAAACTTGGCTCCTTGACCACCTCATCAACCAAGTTCTTATCCCATGATATAAACTAATGCTAATCTTAATTAGTACCTCTCCCTACTTCTCAAGGAAACAACATATGAGTTAGGGTAGGTACAAACTTCAAGGCAGCAAAATGTCACCGATATTAATTTTGCGGGATAGAAAAAAGATAATATTCTACAACCGATGCGTGAAAGGTGTACGAGTATAAAATAACGAGCGAGTCATTTCGTTTCGCAGTGGACTAATTTTGGGCTCAAAGATATGGATATCAAAACCTCTTCCCACCATAAGATAAATATACCGCCCAGTACACACGCCCCTTGAACTCACACCCACAACCTACAAACCATTCCACCACTCCGTCTTCTCAACCTCAAAGATGCCCTTCAACTCTCCCTTCCCTTCCTCACTAGTATTGCCCACAATAACCTCATACCCATCCTTCTCCACAATCCACGCCTCTCTAACCTCATCCCAAAATGCCGCCGCATATTTAATATCAATATTTACCTGCACGGTCTTCTCCTCTTTTGCTCCCAAAAACACTTTTTCGAATCCCTTCAACTCCTTCTTCGGTCTGCGGATCGATGGATTTTGTTGCTTGATATATACTTGAACAATTTCCGCTCCTGGAATATCTCCGGTATTTTTAACTTTTATTTCCACTTTGATGCTCTTTTCGAGTTTCTCGATTGTCAAGTCCAAAATTGAGAATTGGGTGTAGCTAAGTCCATGGCCGAAGGGGAATAAGACGGGCAAGTTTAACGCCTCATACCATCTGTAACCTATATACACATCTTCACCATAAATAACTCTGCCTCTTTCGGATCTGAAACTCAAGAATGCTGGATTATCTTCGATTCTCTTCGGGAATGATAGGGGTAATTTTGCCGAGGGATTGGTTTTGCCGAAGATGATATCCGCAATAGCATTTCCGGTCTCGTTGCCTCCATACCAGGCTTGTAGGAGAGCTGGAGTTGTAGACAGGAAGGGAAGAGCGATAGGAGTTCCGGATTGGATGACCACGACGGTGTTGGGATTGAGGGGGGTAAGAGTCGATATCAACTTGTTTAGATGTAGTGGGAGACCGAAGACTTCGCGATCGGCTCCTTCGCCTTCCCAGTCGGACTTAGTACTGTTAGCAGTTGTCAATAATATAGAGGGATTGGCTCACGTTTAGACCGGCACAAATGATGACTTGATCGACTTCCTTGGCCAATTGTGCTGCATATGCAATTTCCTCATCTGCGTCAATGATTTTTGCACCTCCAATTCTGATCGCTCCAGGACCGAATAACACGTTACTTCCTTGATCCAGCTTGCAACTCGGCGCACTGGCAAACTCAACTTTGATATGATACGTTTGTCCTTTCTTCAGCGACACAACTCCTCTCTCTTCAACTGTACCACATGAGAAGAACATAGTTCCTCTAGTCTGTTTTGTTGAATTGTCGATTAGTAATTTGCCGTCCACATACAGATTTGCAGTCCCGTATACCCCTAAACCAAGCTCAAAGTTAGAGTCTTCTTCGGCAGTCAGATATCCCTCGATATCAGCCCACCACAATTCGTTCTTCAGTTTATCAGAGTAGTAATCCATCATTAGAAGTTCCGTCTTTGTAAGGGTTATTTCGTCGGCAAGTTCTCGATTTTTAGTCGTTGGGGGGTCGTTATATGCTCTGAACGAGACACCTGTTTCTCCCTTGTCTGTCTTGAGAAGAAGACCGAGCAATGGGAGGTCCCTGTGTGCATATGCTCCTATAGTATATGATGGGACTGTTTCCAGCTGAGCACTAATACCATCAAACGGTGTGACTGCATAGTATGCTGCCAGGGATGCCGAGCCACCCCCGTGATAAGTAGCAATCTTAGCATTGGGACCAACGATCAAAGTCTAGAAGGTCAGTTCAAACACATGTCACTGGGTACAAAGTCTTACCTTTTTGTCTTTCCGGAATGGCAATACGCCACCCTCATTTTTCATTAATACGATCGAGTCACCTCCAATTTCTCTCAAAAGGGCAGCTGTCTCTGGAGTATCCGCGGTCTTCTCTTCTGCCTTCTCCGGGATATTTGCATCTGCAACGCGATTGACAAGCTTGAGGATGTTCCTAGCTCTCTCGTCAAGAACATGTTGAGGTACCTTCCCTACGCTGACAGCTTGTATTAAGTTTGCACCTCTCCATTTCGTCGCGCCTGGCATTTCTAAGTCCAAGCCAGCATTGATCGCGCCTGTAGTCGAATATGTGCCCCACCAATCGCTCATGATACATCCTTCCCAACCCCATTCTCCGCGTAAGATGTCCTTCAAAATCCTAGGATTCTCACTAACATGTGTTCCATTAACTTTGTTGTAAGCTGTCATGAACAATCCTGGCTTTGAATCCCTAACCACCAATTGAAATGGTAGTAAATATATCTCCCTCAATGCTCTTTCCGTGATTATAACATTAACACCATTCCTATTATGTTCCTGATCATTACACACAAAGTGTTTAATCGTAGCTTGAACACCTGTCTCTTGAATCCCATTCACAAGTGCAGCAGCACCCAATCCAGACAATACAGGATCCTCACTGAATGATTCAAAACCACGACCTCCCAAAGGTGACCTCTGCATATTGATGGTTGGACCAAGAATCACATGTACACCTTTTGCTTTCGCTTCCTGTCCCATCAAGACACCTGCGCGATGGAGGAGTTTAGTATCCCATGTCGCAGCGAGAGCGGTGCCGCACGGGAAACAAGCTGCCGTGATGCCATTGAAAAACCGAGTACCGCGCACGCCATTGGGACCATCTGATACACGAATTGAAGGTACATTGTACTTGGGGATGGCAGTTGTATGCCACCAGTCGACACCTGGATATTGTTAGATCAATCCGAATTTGAACATGTACAGGGAGGGGTGTATATATACCTGATAAGAGAGAAACCTTCTCCACATTGTCAAGCTTTGAAAGCACATCTTCCACATCTATTTTGTTCGTCATCCTGATTTACCTAAATCTAACGTTGGTTTTGAAGTTGTAATGAAGTAAATTACGTGAAGAGGTTCAGATATATAATTGTAATGAATGGAGGAAGGAACGAATATACCAGTATGTATTGACTTCGTACTCAAACATGGAAGGCTAGGAAACACCCAGACTATTATGGAATTTCGGCCCTGTATCACGCTCATCCAATACATTTCGGATTCATCCGCAATAGCCAACACTCCACAAGAGACGCTCATCTATCATCTATTACTATTGGTGTATCGGGATGATCTCTTCTTACTCTAGTCAATCTACTCGTAATATGCTAGATTGTCGAAAGATCGGATAATATTCGGGACGGAAGTTCTTCGGGAAAAGGAGAAAACCCCAAATACGGAACTGCAGGTTCCATTTGGAAATGACTGTATGGGGGCAAAATTGGAGAAAAAGGTGATGAAACATTTAAGAACAAGGCTTAGTGTGGGGTCAATTGCGGACTTCGAAATGGTAGCTCCGCTTCATATCGGTCCATAGATAGACCGAGTCATGCATGGATCCCTAATCATTGTTTCCTTAGTCAAGCCTGCGTTGTCGTACGGGTATGGAAGACTTTACGATACACTCGTCGGAACTCGACACCTTGCCGACCATTCGAGGCAAAGGTTTGGCGGACCGAAGTGACCTGTTAGTACCATGAGTATGGAGCAACCAAACAAATCAATAGCCTGCATTAGTTCGTTTAATCAAAAAGGGGCCTGCGGTAAAACATTGTGTATTCATTATATCATAATCAGGCTATACAAACCTGAACTAAACCGCAACCAGAACTCCATACCGAACTCACTCAAGCAAAGTAATTAAGCCATCGTGGCAGTAGCCGCCCTCTGTCCTCTCTCCAAATTTCTATTCCTTCTTCCACCGCCAGGTCTTGCGAGGGTATATTTGGCGAAAGAACGAGCGAGTGCTTTCTTGCAACTGACCTTCTGGCTACCGACGAAAGAATCAATTGTGACAGCAATTGCTCGGTCGATATCTTGCGCTGAGACGTATTCAGAGAGTCGCATCCGACAGAATGCTTCACTAATACGCATGATGGCTTCAAGATGACGGACCTAAATTTCGTGTTAAAAATGTGAAGCGGGACAGGAAAATATTTTTTACTTACGGTAATGGGATAAGCCCCGGTCGCTAACGATTCTCTTCTCATATCTGCGAAAAGTTTCGATACCTTCTCCTCATCGATATTGTATAACTTTGGACTACACCTCTCCCGAGCATAAAGGATGTACTTTCGAAGTAACCCTTGCTTGATTTCGCCTTCTTGCTTAGGCTCACCGCCATTTACAGCGCCATCTCGCATCTCTGCGTCATGCTCTGTTTCCATCGACGCTTGATTTTCATCCGTAGGTTGACTTCCTGGATGAGAACGACCGTGGGATCCCACAACGAATCTGGCAAGTCTTTCATCTTCAACCGGATCTACAGTATCACGAACAACGCAAAGAATATCAAAACGGGATAAAATTGGCTCAGTGAGCTCAACATTCTGCGAGAAAGGAATGGTGGAATTGTAGCGTCCACCAATTGGATTTGCTGCGGCAATGATACCGCATCGAGCCTGAAGTGTTGTGACGATACCAGCTTTAGAAATGGAGATAGTTTGCTGTTCCATAGCTTCGTGAATAGATGTTCGATCTTGATCATTCATCTTATCGAACTCATCAATAAGACATGTACCTCGGTCTGCAAGCACCAAAGCGCCGCCTTCCAAAGTCCACTCACTAGTAAGAGGATCTTTGCGTACACTGGCTGTAAGACCAACAGCACTAGCTCCTTGACCCGTGGCAAAAACGGCCCTATGGGCAGTTTTCTCGACATACTTCAGAACTTGTGATTTTGCTGTTCCGGGATCTCCTAAAAGGAGTACATTGATGTCACCACGGATATGATGTTTTCCCTGAGCGACTTTGGCAACTCCACCCATGAGTGACAGAGCCACGGCTGTCTTGATATCGGTATGGCCGTAAATGCTTGGTGCCATTGAATTAATTATTTTGTCCACAATCTGGGGGTCACGAGAAAGAGCGCGAATCTCGTGCTCATCTTCCTCTGTAAGTCTAAAACCAGCAAGTTGATCGTGCGATTTAACAACATTATTAGCCTCTAAGATTGTCGCAAATACAGGAAAACCATTTCGATTATTCAATTGAGCATCGTAGTTATTGCGGTAAACACCTGTGACTTCAATCTCCTCACCAGGCTTGGCTTTGTCGATAAGATCCCAGAGAAGAATGACTTCTCGATGGCGGGGTAGACGACCTGCAGGCACAGTTCCTGGTGATTCTTGAAGAGTTAACTTTTGGTAATTGCGATAAACCGTCTTTTCTGAGTTCAGGTTGAAAGGGCCACGAGATTGACAATTCGCGCAGAAAGAAATTTTGACTTCCACATTTGATTCTTGTTGGAAAGGCCCAAGCCTTGTATGGCATTTGGAACAATCAAACATGACATATTTCAGTTGTGGGAATACACCACTTCGACGAGTGACCACTCCACTAACTCTAACGAGGCAGTTCAGATGTGTTTGACGTAGTTGGCGCAGGGTATAATGAACAGGTAAATCTGTAATGCGAACATGAATCTCGGAATGAATCTGCTGGTAATCGTTATAATGCAACAGGGTAACCTCCATGGCAACTTCGTCGAATAATTGAAGCATTTCACCGGGAGCGTTGGCCAAGAAATAGGCAAGGATGGCTTTTGAGGCGGACAAATGATCATATGAAACTTCCAACGTTTCTGCGTTGATCTCCCCAAGAGTTTTAATGCGGCTACCATAAACAGAAACTCCATGCTCGTCGGTGTATTCGGTCAGGAAAGCTTTAAACTCCCTCCTGATAGTCCTTTGAACGGAAGGTGTAGCAATCCATTCAACCAAACTTGATGACTTGACATCCTGTAGAGTCTCAAGAGATAACTCTTCTTCCATGATATCTTCCTGCATATCTTCATCTTCGTCTTCGTCGTAATGATGACGTCTACGTCTCGGTTGATTCATTAGATCCAAGTCTCCATCCTCATCTTCATCCTGCAAGAAAGCAGCTGGCATACGACGCTGCCTGGCAAGTTCTCGGTCTCGGCGATTTAATCTGGCTTCAAGCTGTCTTCTAGCCGCACCGTCGAGCTCTTCGTAGTCCCCTTCGTCATCAATATCCGCACCTTCGTAGTTTGTATCATCCCGGGCATTTTCGTAATCTCGTTCGTAGTTTCCCGCAAAGAGATCAATTCCGTCCTCATCCTCGGCCATCTCATCAGCATCGTCGATATCGAGAGCGATTTCGACATCATCCTCAATCTCGTCGTCGTCATCATCTTCAACACCGTGTCGAATTGGGGCTGGTGGGGAGGATGTGAAGTCGCCAGGAGGACTTGAAGGTGCAACGCCGCCAGGTAAATCATCATCTTCCGGTTCTCTGGAGCGCTTGCGACGATTTCGACTGCCGTCGGCACCACGGTTGGCGGACGACATATTATTTCGCAGAGGGGAACTATTGGACGCAAGTAGTCAATATCGTTCAGGGGTAAACAATAATTCAGATGTGGGGATATTATGGCTGAAGATTTTATGCGCACCTCATAGTATGTTATGGATTGACGTCTCGTTGGTGTGAGAAACGTATCAGGGGAAGTGAAATGAGTACGATGGTGAATTGTGCTGAAGTACAATTCGAGCTGTTGAAGGTTGAAGTGTTTGCATAAATTGAAAGTTGGGGAAAACACATAAAATCTATCATTGAGACGCGACGCGAAGGCGCTAAATTTATTTCCATAGCCGACCGCGTAAAGTGTTTTTTTACGGTCGCAACGATCGTGACGATCCTCAGCCTTGATTCCAAGTTTCAATTTACAATTTCGTCACGGCATATTCTGTCTGTATACCAAATTGATTATGGAACAACATCTAGCAAACACGCAGCCAAATGAGGCTTCTGATAGCCAAACCGGCGGCGCTTCGCGAAGCCAGAGCTTCTCCTCCCAGAAGTCGGACGATTCTCATACAGCAGCGGAGTATATAACACAAAATTTACTTCCCCAGTGTTATTCACAATTTGACTAGATGCTAACATATGTACTAGGTTTATCAGGACCCAACTAGAGCTCGAGGCAGAAGCGCGCGAAGCATTGCCATACGTAATAATGTTCCACCCCTCAACTTCATTAATACTTTACTAATTGGGTAAAACAGAGCATCGATACCTGTACAAAGCCTCTAGGCTCACTGCGACAAATTCTGTTTGCTTGTTTGACATGCAATCCTGCTCCGCCCAATGTATCCGATCCGTATACTCCTGCCGGCATCTGTTATTCCTGCTCAATACAATGTCATGGAGAGCACACTCTAGTGGAACTTTTCAATAAACGAAACTTTACTTGTGATTGCGGCACGACACGTCTACCCGCGACTTCACCTTGCAGCTTGCGCATCAATTCGGAAACAAACACAACGGGGGAGGTACATTCAGAAGCTCCAGAACCAAGAAATAAATACAACCACAATTTCAGAAATCGTTTCTGCGGCTGCGGATGCGAATATGATGCTTATAAAGAGAAGGGCACGATGTTTCAATGCTTGGGCTTAGGTGGTGCTGATGAAGGTGGTTGTGGTGAGGATTGGTGGCACCCTGGATGCATTGCAGGTCTAGGACCATTTTGGTATGATACTATGAGCAACAAAAATGCCCCCAAGAAGTCGAAGCGAAGCAACGAGGGCCCCCTAGAACCTATCACAGAAGTTGCGGAACTAGTCGCGGTAGAATTAAATAACGATGGATCTGGTGATAAGGAAAGTGAGACCGATGCGCGAAAATCCGACGCAGTGGTCGAGGAAGACGAAGAGGAGGATGAAGATCCTCCTCTACCTCCAGGATTTCCCGACGAAGACGATTTCGAAGGGTTTATTTGCTACAAATGTGTTGATGCGAATCCATGGATCAAACGATATGCTGGTGCACATGGTTTCCTCGCTCCTGTTTTCAGAAGAAGTGCAGCTCCTTCTCCAGAGACTGAGATCCTGACGAATTCTATGAATCTACTTACGCCACCTATCCCCGAATCTAAGAAGCGCAAATCGGAAGATGATGAGAGTTCAAATTGTTCTTCAGCTTCTAAACGAGTCAAGGGAGATGAAGGAGAGAAGTCAGTCGAGACCAAATTCGACAGCAATGACAATAGCACTCTTGCAGTATGCAAAATCAAGGCATTACCAAAAGCACACGATGGTCAGATGTCCTTGTTTTTCAGATCCGCATTTCGAGATCAACTATGCCGTTGTTCAGACTGCTTCCCACAACTATCGAAGCATCCTCAGCTGCTCGAAGAGGAGGAAACTTACGAGCCTCCAGTATCAGAAGATGGAGATGAAGGAGGGAGCACGGTCGGTAGCGGAAGCATATATGATCGTGCCGAGAGTGCTCTAAAGAATGTTGACCGTGTCAGGGCAATTGAGGGTGTAATGGCGTACAATCATCTGAAGGACAAACTCAAGCCATTTTTTCAGAAATTCGCAGAAAGTGGTCAAGCTATCAGTGCTGAGGATATCAAAGAACACTTTGCGAAGATAAGAGGTGATGAGCAGGCTATCAAGGATGCTGGCGAGGGAGCGAAGACAGATGATAATAGGAAGGAGCAAAGCGGTTATTAATTGGTGGTTCATGACTTACCTAGTATGTATTTAATAATGTATGATATCGAAGAGGAACTGCAATGAAGCTTTTGATGATTTTACAAGTTGGAACCTTTATTCATATGTATCTTTCTTCTTCTCATAAATGCCACCATTCAGCAACAATATACCAGTTGGCTCCCAATAAATTTCAGGGTTGCTTAAACCAATTGCATATCATTCATCCCTTGCAATTGCCAAACATGTCGTCCTCACGACATGGAGGACCTGAGCAGGTCACCTATCATGCTACTATTAATCGACGAAAAGGAATTTGTGACAACTACCAACGAGCCATGAGATGCATTCTCGGCCTCCATACTCACACATATGACAATGCCACGAAAGCGGTTGGATGTATTGACATTAAAGCCAAATAAGGACGATTTTAGAGGATGTTACTAGATTGGATGGCTTTTCGTTGAACGGTACCTTTACTTAAGGATCGGATGCGCAGAAAAATCGTTTAGATCTCGTAGAAGTCGAAGGAGTCCTTCCCAATCAAAGAAGCGTACGAGTGATACCAAGAAATTCCTGAAGTATAGAACAAGAGCGATGTATTCATTACAACCAAGTTTCTCCTCACCTCAAAGGGTATGATGAAGCTCTATTGTATGGGCCCAAAGATTGCGTGGATAGATACCATATTGCTGTTGAAAGAGTTTAGCAAACATCTGGTAGAGTGTAGTGAGGGCATGGCGGGCGTCGAGATCATGTCCAATACCCAAGTAAGACTTCGCTATTATCGGAAAAACTGTATGAAAGCTATATGATTAACCCCCACCTCGGCCACGCATGAGTGAAGTAATCCCAAAGGGTCAATTTCTTTTCGGGGTGGTAACCCGATTGCATACATATCTGGAGTCACGGAGAAGATCAGGGACAAATACACGCGATTGTCGCTTCTGCCTTACATCACGGGGGGGGGGAGAGGTGGGCGCTTCTGGGAAAATGTGAGTTCCGTATGATTGCATAAATTCACTGTGCGTGAGATTACATTGGACATGCAATGGTTGCGAAATGGTATGGGGCTTTTAAATGTCTGAAAGATCTGATCCAGAGAAAACTTTGTGTTTGTCATCACGTTATGGTGGAAGTATCTATCTAATATGACTTTTTATGCATACTTTCGTCGGTTAGACATTGATGAAATTTTAATCTATAGGGGGTTGGACTGTCATGTCTAAGCTATGTACTTTAAGCTTTGTACTGTGGCGCTAGATTCGTTTAGTGACTTTTATAAGGATGGAGGGAACTGCAAAATGCCCCGGGTCTTGCAAAAGAGCAATGTCGTAGTGGATTGCTGATATGAAGCTTGCTCTGCTGGGGCTAGGGCTGCTCGGGCAAGAGCTACTTGGACTAATCGGTTTGTCGACGGAGAAGCTTCGCTGGCATTCGCTTGTTTGTGTATACGATAGATACAGTAATGTACTTCAATTCTTCAAGATATTGATATATACTGGAAAATGAGCATTATGATGACAGTGATCTCGAGTGATGATGATCTTCGGCCATTTTGCGAGGTAAGCTGCAGCAGTGCTGCTTCGCCTGAAACCTTTTCACTATTGCAAATTTCAAAAAGACCAGCCGTATTCCCAAAACTTCTTGCCCGAGATTGTGCGGTGATGGAGAGTGAGAAATTTGTTATGTAGCGGAGCAATCTGATGCCCAGCGATCATAACAGCTGAAGTGATCACAAATTCTTGATCCGCAAGTGAGAAAATAAAAGAGATTAAGGCTTCATTGAGTAGTCTTCATGTGGGATGGTTTGGTCTGCTGGGGTGTTTGAGTAGGATCCATCGTCTGTAAGATTGCGCCTTGTACTTCGACGCGTGATATGAGATTGCTGGTGTATCTTTGTCTGATTTTTGCGGATGAAGCACGAGTTGGCATAGAAGACGTGCGGCAGCGGCTAACAAAACATACACCTGGAGCAGAAGTGAGTTTTCTTGCTGGGTATGTGTAAACTTCAACGGCTGAAGAAACATACACCGGTTTCTTTGATTTCGATATCAGCTGACAATTGTCTACAATCATTTGGGAAATATGAGCATTCGGTGGAGCTAATATTCCCAGATTTTGGTGTTAATTTGGAGAATGATGCCAAGATAAAAGATCTTGAAGGGAGTAGCAATGATTTGAATTTCCACTCGGAATTAAAAATCACGTCATGATTCATATGGGAAAAAACAACCTTGATATGGTACACCAGTGGGCGTAGGCACTCATAAAACAAATTCAAAGTTAAATACAGCGATAAATATGTGAATGTACACTTTAGAGCCCAATGGGATCATTCAATGCAGATCAAGCAATGAAAAGATACTTGTACAGCTTGAACAGAATCAATCAAAGTTCCTGTTGCACTTGCTACAGAATTAAATTGAGCCTGAGCAACCGGAAACGATGTACGCTTCTCGAAAAAGAAGGACGAAAGGTACGCGATAACATTATAGGTCTACATACTAGGAAGTGAGCGAGGATAACGCAGATCACAATTGACTGGGGATACTCCTAAGTAAACACATTACTCGTTGCCACTGTTGAAACACTCTAGCTTTTGAGAGAATAAGATGTGCAAAAATGGAACATCTTGAATGCTCGCACCTCACTGACTCATAAACAGTCTGAAGAGGATCATGCCCTTTCCGGAATCTCGCATAAAAAAGGGGATGGTCCTAGTCACAAAAAGCGAGTCCTAGACAACATACTAAAGGCATTCGGGAATCATTCTTCCCCGCCCGCCCATTCGCAACAATCTCAATGATTATCTACCGCCACAAATACTACTAATGGTAGAAGAATCATGAGTCGTATGCATTGTAGATACAAGCTTTATGAATGTTGGATATGAAAGGTGGTAAGAAAGTCACTCCGCCAATCACGTCAACGCCGATTCAGGACACACATCTTAGTCCATATTTGGACTAGACTAGCAGAATCCGACTGACCGCCTTGTATTGCCGCAACTTCATAGGTTATCGGCGTTTCACAGGGTTAATCGATAAAATCTGGAGAATAGTTTGAATTTCTTTGAATTTCAAAAGAAATCAATGAATTCTTGAGCTATGTTACTGGTACGTAAATATCTATTTAGATACTTACCCTCGCTAACAATATGACTGTTAGAGAATTGGGCCTAAAGGCCTACGAGTAAGGGCCTCCCGTCCTCTACACGAATTGGGAACTTTCCGCGGGGGATATCGTGCATACACCGCGACGGCAAGGCGTTGGCAAGATGTATTCCACTCGCAGACCGAGGATTCAACCCCTTCGACCATTTTATCTTCCCTAAAAACTACATCTCGGGTTGCGCAGACCCTTACAGAGAAGATTGTCCAACGATATTCTCTTGGGCTTGGAAAGGATAAGGTTGTGAAGTCCGGAGGTATGAAATCAACATTTTCTAGCGGAGGACTTGGAAGACCTGCGTTGTAGGCTCGCATTCGCTGTTGCTATTGGAGTATATTCATACGGCTACTTGCTGACTGGAAGTACACAGATTATGTTACTCTCTCCCCTCATTACTGCATGACTCATGAGTGAGTCAACATCTTCAAAGCCGCCTGCTCATAATTTTAACATTATCTAGCAATTCATGGCCCGTCGCAACCAAATTCATGTCCATTGGCGCAACCAAAATCCACAATATCAATCAAGTGGTTTGCACCCTCGATCACGATGTTCAAAATAAGAGCGAAACAAATCTGAAGAAATACAAACAAATTGAGGAATTCGCACGTCAACAAGGGGTGGACTTTTACCCCGCAGGACGAGGAATTGGACATCAGATCATGGTAGAGGAAGGATATGCTTGGCCCGGGACAGTTACTGTCGCTTCGGACAGTCATAGTAATATGTATGGTGGTATCGGATGCTTGGGCACGCCTATGGTACGAACAGATGCAGCAAGTATTTGGGCAACAGGTCGAACATGGTGGCAGATTCCCCCAATCGCCAAAGTCACCCTCACTGGAGTATTACCTATCGGGGTTACAGGAAAGGATGTCATCGTTGCGCTTTGCGGTTTGTTCAACAGTGACGACGTTCTCAATCATGCTATAGAATTCACGGGATCGGAACAGACGATGCGCAGTCTCCCTGTCGATGACAGACTTACTATCGCAAATATGACAACGGAATGGGGTGCTTTATCCGGCTTGTTTCCAATTGATTCAGTCCTCGAGTCTTGGTTAAGATATAAGGCTACCACAAGTGCAATGTTTGCCCCTAAGAATGGCAAGGAACCCCGGTTTACACATGCTCGTATTGATGATCTCGTTCAAAACCAGCTTGTGGCGGATAAGGGAGCTACCTACGCTAAATCCTTGTACCTCAACCTTTCAACTCTCTCCCCTTACGTTGCTGGCCCTAACAGTGTCAAAATCGCCACTCCTATTCGCGATTTGGAAGCCCAAAAGATCAAGCTCCACAAGGCATACCTCATTTCATGCACCAATTCACGTGCTTCCGATCTCGCTGCTGCAGCAAAGGTTTTCAAAGACGCTGCTGACTCTTCTCCCGATAAAACTATTCCTAAGATTCCTAAAGGTGTCAATTTCTACATCGCTGCTGCTTCGATCCCTGAGCAAGAGGCTGCTGAGGAGGCGGGCGACTGGCAAGCTCTTCTCGCAGCTGGTGCACAACCTTTACCATCAGGATGTGGCCCATGTATCGGACTCGGTACTGGATTATTAGAACCAGGTGAGGTTGGTATCAGTGCTAGTAATCGAAACTTCAAGGGGCGCATGGGGTCCACTGAAGCCAAGGCATATTTGGCAAGTCCCGAGGTTGTCGCTGCCAGCGCTCTTAACGGCTATATCTCCAGCCCTGGGTGGTATGAGGCACCTATTGGAGTAAATAAGGTTGTTCTCGGTGAAGGCAACGGAAACGTTGAAGAAGACAAAGCCATCAGCATTGAGGAGGCACTCGAGAAGCTTATCTCACAAGCAGATTCGATTGTTGACGGAGCCGAGTCAAGCATTTTCGGCACTTCCTCAAAACCCGAGGAAACTGATGCGGAAACTTTGACTGAGATTCTACCGGGTTTCCCGGAGAAAGTTGAGGGCGAGATTGTCTTCTGCGATGCCGACAATGTTAACACAGATGCTATATATCCAGGAAAATATACCTACCAAGATGGTATCTCGGTTGAGAAGATGGCCGAAGTATGCATGGAGAATTACGATAAGGAGTTCCGTGCCATCGCTCGTGAAGGTGATATTCTCGTCTCCGGTTTCAACTTTGGATGTGGTAGTTCAAGAGAACAGGCTGCTACTGCTATTCTCGCTAAAAAGATTCCCATGGTAGTCGCTGGAAGCTTTGGAAACATTTTCTCCAGAAATAGTATCAACAACGCTTTGATGGGAGTCGAAGTTCCAAGACTGGTACAAAGACTGAGGGAGCATTTTGCTACTTCTGCACCAGTGCCAAAGAAAGAAGTAACAGAGCCAAGTGGAAACAGCGAAAGCCTTGACTCACCAAAACCAGCTGAACTAGCTGTACCACAGGGAGAGAAAGTCTTGACAAGAAGAACAGGATGGAAGTTTGTATGGGATGTTAGACGAAGCAAAGTAGAGATACAGGAAGGTGAGGGTGGTAAGAAGTGGAGCCAAAAGGTTGGGGAGTTGCCACCAAATGTGCAAGAGATCATTGCTAGAGGTGGTCTGGAAAAATGGGTCAAGATGGAGATTGGGAAAAACTAAAAAGATTCTCTTGGATTGGGAGTCAAATTTGTAAATGACATGTACACTTATTAACTGATAAATCAAATTAATGAAGCTATTTTCCCTATAGTTTTCTGTTCAATACATGTGAGTATAGTCCAGTGTTGTCACTCACAAGCTAAGGTATTGAAATTGAATTAAATACAGAAAACTACTACCTTACAAGGTATGTAGTAGTGAAGTGAAAAAGGGTTCGGAGTTTTCATTAAGACCGAAGGAGATAAAAGAGCCAATCTGTGTGCCGTGCCAAGTGAAAAGGTTTCCAGATGAGAGTATATTCACTTTACCCATCGGAGTTAAGAAAGAGTGGTTGAGATTAATTCCTGAAAGGAATACATGAACTCCTCAAACCACACCTTTACATGTTAAACTCTAAGGTATTTTAGTATCTAGAAAAGATTCCTTCACAACTATTTGTTTCTTTTGATTATAGACCAGATTTCACAGTTCAATTGGTTTTTGTTTCGGATTCATACCTGTATAACCCTCCATCTTCAGGATTGAGGAACCGACAGAGAGTATCTCAGCAAATCACTTAAGAACAACACAGCTTCACAACGGCATTGATAGTCATTATGTATCTCTCTGTCTTGATCTCTGTTCTTCTAACTTTTGGCTATGCAATTGCAACACCACAATTGGATGCCAATGCTTTAAGCTCATTGTCATTGGAGGCAACAAGCTCAACAATTGTCGAAACCTTGATGCCTGACACAATGATAGCACAAAGCACCGGATCTTCTTCAGCCTTGTTAATACCCCTTCCGCTGTTATCCATAGAGAGTGCATTCATGGAATCAGCCAACAGTACAAAAACCAACTCTGCCACCACGACAACAACAGCTACAACAGCTATAACAACAGAAACTATGTTTACAGTTTCCCTGACAGAAACATTACACAGTCTTAGCGAAAATGACTCCAGAGCTGCAACATCAACCACTTCTACCCTCACATCCGTCCAGACTTCAGTACCAGCCTTAGCCACCCAAGCCCTCACAGGAGAAATTGGATTCAGCACACCCGAACAGTTCAAAACCCAGATCCTCCTGGCTCATAACTGGTACCGAGCTGCACATGGTGCAGATCCTCTGATTTGGAACGATACTCTGGCTAATTCCAGTACAACGTGGGTTGCAGAATGTGTTTGGGGTACTGAAGTATGTTCACTTCTTTCTTGATATTTATTTATGATTTATTTTTGTACTTATCTTATTCTTGGGAACAATAGTCAACCCCTGACATAGGTAAAATTTACGTCTCTACAATACCTACTACTAGTGTCTTTGGCATCATGAATGATTTGGGATTGGAACGACAGTTTTATAACTGGTCGGATCCGGGGCCGGATAATTCGACTAAACAATTTACGCAGATGGTGTGGAAGAGCACTACGCAACTTGGGTGTGCTTGGAATAATTGTCGTGAGTTTCCTGTCTGTTGCATCCTACATTTCCAACCATCTTCCAAAGTTCGAGCTTATAGTTCGAGTTGGGCATGCATACCTCAACACCCGGTAAAAAGTCAAAAGAAAAAGCTAACACAGAATCCCATCTATACTAGCACCCGGATCATCACCCGACACGGAACCCCCTGTTTCAACCGAAGTCTCCCTATTTCTACTCTGCCAATACTATCCCAAAGGCAACGTAGGAAACTCCACAGACTGGAAAAATAACGTTGGAGAGTTGATATCTGGAAATTTGGGACAAGGGGTTGCTGCTGCTACTGATCTTGGTTTGACTACTGCAACTACTAGTACTACTAGTCGTTCTCCTGCTGCCACTGGGGTTGTCCGTAAAAGCTTGGGGAATAAGCTGGAGTACAGTCTGTTTGCGATGATCCTCACTGCGGTTGTTCTTATTGGATCGGTTACCATATCTCCTTCTGTCCTGGTTCCTGTTCTTCTGTTGTTTGGCGCTGCAGATGCAACACCTGAACAGGACAACGAAGCCTCAAGCTCATTACTAGCCCATGGCTGGATATCTGCGACTGCTGCTCCCATAAGAACAGGAAATGTTCAAGTTGTGTCTAAAGAATTCAACACTCAGGCTATCCAACTAAGACTGGTTTTAGCTCACCACCACATTCCTCAGCTTTGATGCTTGATGGCATCAATTGTTATCGACAAATTCTAAACCACTTGAATCTAATCTGGAACGATACACTCACTAGCTGATAGGAGTACGAGCTGGGTTCATTTTTGCGATGGGAATGATACTGTACGCTATACATTCTTGATCTCGTTACTAAATTACTTACCAATTCTGCGCTATAACAGATATTCGATACCAATTATGCATCCACCACTTGCAGCTTGATGGACTTCGAAGAACCAGATTCCATATAAGCGCATTCCTTGGTGTTTTTGATGTTGTGATTCCTGAGGTGCGCAGTCTGGGGAAGGAACTTTATGATGCGAGCGGAGTGGTGAAGTTAAATACAGGGTGCGTGATGTTATGCGTGTATGCAGGGAATTAAATAGGAGTTAGTAATGGCAGTGAGTAATGGCAGTAATTTCAAAAATAGACATAGATGAATGGATCTTCTCAGGGAAATATGGTGCTGGAGCCCTGAAGTATGGTGGTTGTGTATTGTTAATCTAGAAAGATCCCTTAGCAAATATTGATTGTAAATGTGAGATGATCTGGATATATGACCATATCAAACTCTAGCTCTATTTGAAGTTGATGAGTTTGTGAATATAATCCCGTGCATATCGATTGACTTTCTTCAAACTTCTAAACTTCTAACTTGTAACTTCTAATTTCTAAATTATCTGTGAATGTAAATGAGACACTATGATGCATTTTTATTACTAATACTTACATCCCACATACATATATGATTGAAAAGATAGACTGAGTTATATTTATCATCTAACTGCCATATGCTAGAACTTCAGATATCATACATATACATGAGATAACACTGGATAAAAAGCTCAATATAAATGTAAATTGAAATCTTAACATCACAGCTTCGTTCGTAGAAGCAAGCAAGCACCAGTATCAAAAAAGTACTCGAGTACTGCGCTTCAGCTGGTGACTTCCCGTGGCTCTGGCTATTCTCTGTTCTCAAGCAACATAGTTTTGTATTGTATGTCATATATCGTAAATCTATTACTGCGTAATTTAAGGGTACATATATGAATATGGAAAATGAGACGGAAGAGTGCTGTACTGTACCCAATAATGTGCTTTTGCTTTAGCCAGGCACAGGGATGGGCGTTGCAATGAAAGACCCCCAACCAACCTACTTACTGTACTTATCGATCTATTCTTCCACAATTCTCAGAATCGGCAATCTGGGTATCAGCTACTCATAATGCAATTCATCGACACTTCATCTCTTGACCATACGATTCATTTCTATCTACGTTTCTGAGTACGACTTGATGCATCATACCTCCTCTCGTTATGCTCGCTCACTTAGTAAATCTTTCCTTCCCTGTAGTAATTTGTTACCGATCGATCATTTCTTTCTCTCAGAGAAAAGGACTGAAAGAGTCGAAATGCAAAAATAAATCCGACGCCGTACCATGCTGTATTTACTCCTCCCTAAATAAAATCCCTGGTGTGTGCAACTTTAAACCCATCATCCCCTGCCATTCCCAATCAGACCACCATATCACACCATCTAAAAACCCAGAAACTTATTCCCAGCCTCCACCGCCTTCTTAACACCCTCCCCATCTCCCTCTCCCTCCTCACCCGCAACAAATTTACTCAATCCCATAGCTCTCAATCCATCCTCACCAGTCCACTCTTCAACTTCCTTCACACCCGGTCGACCAATATGTTCACTCTCACCCTTTCCACCCGGGAAATCTGGGCCTGGGAGACCAGCCAGGAAAGTATCGCGTTGGCAAGCGAGTGCTTCGGCGTTGATGGGGGTAAGCGGACAGGCGGGGATGTAAAGGACAGAACTATCGGATTTGCCGGCGTGGGTTTTGTCTACTGCGTGGATTGCTGTTGGGATGATTAGTGAGATGTTCCATTATGAGAGGGTGAGGATGAAAGGAGGGGGAAGAAAAGGGGAGCTTACTATCGCAATGCCAAGCAACATAGTCACCTGGGCTAATCTTCGGAACATGAACCATTGTATTCTTCAAATCCAAATGTGGATGCAATTTTTCCGTCATCTCCTGTCCACGACTTGGGGTAGCGCCGTGAAGCGCACTTGTCATTCTATCAGCCGGGATCAATTTCCAGTTCTCGGGACTAAGGAATTCTTCAGTATATTCGGTCTCCTTTCCCTCGGGCAATTTCTTGATAGGTTCAAAGAAAGGTCGGAGCAGAAAGTAAGCAGTGGTGAGTTGAATAAGAGGATTAACCATCAATGTGCCTTCTCCAGGTGCTGTATGCGACATACTGAGCCAGGCTTGAAACATACGGAACATGGAACAACTGCCTCCGCTGTGGTAGAGATCGCTCACAGCGGGGACACGCGATGAAGACTCAAATGGATCGAACTCTTCCCATTTTCCTTGGAAGATGGAATCGTAGACTCCGTTGATGCCGTATCCATTGGGTTCCCAGCGTTCAACGGATCCACCATCGGCGTGGGGACCGAGGGCGAATACTGAATCACCGGGTTGACGGATGCGGACGCGGTCGGCGTAGGTGACTGGTTGGGAAAGGGAGATGGGGGAGTTAGGGTCGGTGGAGTGCCAGAGATTGAGGAGGAACTTTTGGGCGGTGAGCATGTTTGGGTGAGCACGAGCCTTGACTTGTGGTGGTGACCAGTAAAGTTCGTAGACCTGAGGGTCATTGGGTGGGAAGCCTGTGTTTGTTAGCTTTTTTCCATCTCGGACTGTTTGTTTAATACTCGAGAGAGTAAGTCCGTTCGAATTCGTGAGAAGAAATGGATGAAATATAAGAAAGAAAAAAAAAGTAATAACATACCCTTGGTACTAGGATTCAACTTAACATACTCCTCGACCTCCTCCTTATAGCCTCTCGCAACCTTCTCGTCGACAACTCCTCTGATAACAAGCACACCCTTGTCTCTCATATCCTGCAAGACATCCTTACTTACATTCTTGTCAACTACATCCTGAAAGTTGACACATGGAATAATTCTCGGACCCAATTTGGCAATTTTGGGATTCTCATACATAAGGCGGTTTATGAGACGGGTGAAAGATGCTTGAACAGCTTCCTCGTGATCGTGAATGAGGTTGCGTTTGATAACGGCGAAACGTTCGGGGAGATGTGTGGCTTCAGCGCCGGAGAGGGATACGAAGACATCGGAGATGTCGCCTTCTTTCTTTGGGTTCATGACGTTCATTGAAGACATGCTTGGTAATTTAGCTTCTGTAGCCAGTGTGCGAATTGAAAAGTTGGGTATGGATTTGTGAAGAGAAGAGAACTGGGGTTTAGGTTTGAAGAAACAGGATGTACGAGGGAGGGAAGAGAGAAGACGTGTGCGAAATAACATGCTGAGGGGTAGACCGAGGTAATGACCGGTTGCTCACGTATTGATTAATTGATGATAAGTATTCCTACTATGCCGAGGGTTTCATCTTGGAAAGTGAAGTAAAACAAAAGTGAAGGCGCAGGTTTGGTAAACAAAGAGGCTCTGAAGTAAATGTTTCGCTGATTACTTGATACCAACAAAAGGCCTTGATGGATGATTGACGTTGATGGTAGAATTGTTGTAGGAAGAAAGAAATCGGTATCGTACAAAAGTTTTCCCTGACGATCTTTTAAAAATGGAAAGATCTGTTAAGTACGCCAGTACGGTTCTTCGAAACCGGGTGAATATGACACGAGGGGTGATTGTGGCGGAGATTACCTATTTGGGCAGTCCGCCGACCGCAGTGAATGTTGGTTGTCAGTATGTGGGGTTAGGAAATATATAATCTGGAGAAAGAATTTGAGAGATGATTCAGAGCGCAAACATTAGATCAATACTTGGATATCTGGTCGATGACCATAATGAGCTGTTGAGAAGCCAATTTATGATGTGTGGTGGTTACATTTGTACTCATGCATACCTGTGCAACGATCATACATCGACTGGCGCTTAAAATACACCGGCTCCTCATATATCACTCAAATTGGGCTGAAATTAATTATCAGTCCATCTCTCACTTTGTTGACCTGTGTATACAGTTTCAGAAAAAGGCTTTGACATGCCCTGTTTGACAAAACTATCACAGTTGCTAGATTAACCGGATTGAGCCCAATTATAAAGAGCCATAACTAACCCGAATTTGATGCGACTCAACGAGTCAGCTGCACAAGAAGCCACTTTGCATCCACGGTACTTGTACCACGATGGTCTGGTACCTAGGTATGTCATGTTTCCTTAGTTTCGCTTCCAGAGATAGCAAGATGAGGCAATGGGTAATGGCTGGCGGAATAAGAGAGGGTGTGGGATCATTTGGGGATTTCATTCATTCATTTGTCAGTGAAAATATTCGAGGTTGATGAAGGGCATATGTATTTGGATTCAAGAGCTCAGGGCATGTATTAAGAAGCTCACGAAATCAAGCAGATTTCAAGGATGTGAGCATTTAGCTATCGATCAAATTTATCTCGAGTACATCAATTCAATAATCATGAATATCATCGCCAACCATCCAACAACTTTGCTATTCATTTCAAACACACAACTCGCAGAATTTGACGTCCAACATAATAATGCATTGAGGAAGAACAAGCAAATGAAATTAACGACAGGCACTAAAAGATCTTCCTATACCTCAAGACTCCTTGTGCGGCTCTTTGGCTTGCTTTTGACGTATAAGCGTTAGAAGTAAAAGCAGCCGGAAGGTTCCAAATCAGAAAATTTGGTATGCTACTAGGCTGGTAAGAACTTTCTCCAATACCGGATGAGCACTTCCACTGCTCCAACAGAAGTCACAATGCACAGCGCATATACTGAGCCATTCAGTACACTTTGTGCATCTCCCCCATTCCTGACAATCACGACATCACATCAACGATTTGTTGCAGAAGTTCTGCAGATATGTATAAACAATCTGCGCCTCATCGAACATAAGCATGTTTCTGGCCCACTCCATCCTCTGTATGATATGTAGTATGGAGCTGTCGGTATTAGGAAAACGACCATCTGTAATCTGCAGACGTTTTCGATGTATGTCAAAGGTAGAGATATAATAGGACTGCCCGTCCTGGGTAGGGATTAAACACGGATGTTCTTTGCATGCCGAAATGGAATGGGAGTCGCAACTGGAACGTTTCAATCGGGTTTTTTGAAGTCTGCTCGCAGACCGAAGCGGGTTGGGTTGGAGTACAACCAGAGACTATTGATATTGCCCCTCACTGGTTTGCATGGTGTTCGATCCATGTGTTCGAGAGGCTTTGCTGATGTGGGTAACTCAATGGTAATTTTGGCTGGAGAGCCTTGAGGTTTTGCTCACTGGCGGTATCGAATGCAAGGCATCATGAAGTATCATTTCATTGCGACAAGTTAGAACAACATTGGAGGTCCGGGCTCTGATTACGTAAGGCTTTTGCGTGCATGATTTGCGCTAGCCACCTGCCATCACTCACCCATCAACATCTTACAAGAGAAATCTTCAAAAACTTCTGATCTTGTACATCTTCTATGTAAAGTATGACGATTCAGGAAGAACCACTCTTCGACGCAAATGCAAAGGCCCAGTTTTGAACCTTGGCAAAAAATAAGGCTTGCTGTTCAAAAGGCTAACTAGATTTGGGAACTCCGCCCATACTGTGAATTTGAATCATCAATCTTCCACAGATCTATTGGCTGTCCCTGGAACTTTTCCCTGAATCTCAACTTGAGGTTTATTAGAGTACTGGGAGTTGTAGATACTGGACAGTTCCTTACTAAGGACAGACCGTCATTGGGCACCATTACACTGCCGTCTTGACAGCTTAAAACATCTTCAATCATAGCCTAGAGCTAAAGGATTAGGCACCTTATGAATGATATTTGACCTTTGCCATTAGACTTTCTCAGCTCGAAAATACAACAGAATGAGGCCTTCATAGAGACACACCCATTTACACTTGCCCAGTCTAAATGATCCTGGAAGAGATCAACTCCGCCACACAACACTCCGACATAATGTTCAAATTTGTAGCTTCCGACGGAAGTGGCTCCGTCAAGAGGCAACAAGCACAAAAAGCATGCGAATCCTGTCGGAAGCGAAAGAAACGCTGTAATCATACCATAGATGGCAAACCACCATCGCCAAATTCCTCACCTGCACAAGCATCCACCCAAGATCACTTCGATGACCGGTTTTCCCAAGGGGCCGTCAAGCAACACAATACGAGTAACCTTTCTCGTCCCACAGATGCAGAATACCCAACGACAGCATCTCTTGAGCATCCAGATCTCATTTCTTCTGATGCGTCAAATCTAGCTAGTACTGATCAAGACCTTGAAGCTGCCAGGATATTGAGCGGAGGTACTCATATTCGAACCAACACGTCTCAAAGCCAAAAAGCTCCTCCCAGCCAATCCCGATTTATTGGAGACTTAAATCCAGAATCAATTTTCATAGCTGCTACCAGTCCAGATGCAATTCGTGGTGTATTACCGAACAGCGTCGGGGTATTCCTCTCCTCATCACTTGGGAAAAGATCTTTTCATTCCTCAAATATACAACAAACAAGCTCAAATTTATTTTATGGATCTCCACCCTTGATTCGTGATGTTTTAGTACCTCTCATGGAACAAGAGTGTCTGTCAACCATGCCACCTATACCTCATCTTGGAGTGCTATCCTGTATATACTTCGAGAAGATTAATCCTATTTTCCCCATCATCAATGAGGCCAAATACTACAATCTACCACCTTCAGACCCCGCTCGAATTCTTCTGGAACAAGCTGTTTGCTTGGCAGCTTCCAAGAATTTCTCTGCTGCAAAGCATCTAGTCCTTGATGAAACAAACTCGCCCATGTCCTGCCGAGCTTTCGGTGAAAAAATATCCGGAGCAATGAGGTTAATCATGGAACTCGGTATTGTAACCGACAAACTCATATTGATTCAAGCTCTCTGTCTCCTCTCGCTATTCACCGACAACTCTAGCACTGACGATATCGCATCTCAATTTTCTGGAAAGGCTGCTCATTACCTGCAGGGTATGGGATTACATCTTGAAGGCCAACAGGAAGATGCAAGTACGAAGCTTCTGTGCTGTGTATATGCACTGGATCGAATGAATGCTGCGTTTCATGGACGTCCTGTTTTAATGCATGAACGAGATTTGCGGAAAGATCTCCACCAATGCTTCAAACAACAGGAACCTCCTTTCCGTCTTTTCTTGCAGGTCATATTGTTGCTAGAAAGTGTTATCGAGATCTATCGACCACTTAACCAATCGAAAGATGTCGGTATGGATGTGATATTTCCTTCTTTCGAAGAATTGGTATCAGAGTTCGGAGCGGCACAAATTGGTACTGCCTCCCTTGGTATGTTTTCTCATTACTTAATCTCACCATTTCCACTCCATGACTTTTGACCGATGTTCATCACTGTACCTCTAGCAACAATCGAGGTTTTTTACCATAGCATCTCCATCATTTCCCATCGATCTCATATCTGGGCCGAGCCCAACCGATCTTCGGCGTCTTATCTCCGTCAATCTCTCTCAACTAGCATTCTCTCTTTTACCACCCCTCATGAACTCCAAGACCAACTCGTTTTGTTTCCTTTTGTCCCATATGCTATTTCTCTCTCCCTGAGCATTGCATATCGAGAAATGCGCCACAACAAGCTACCCGCCCACCGAATGCGCGCCCGAGGCCAGTTTCAAGCAAGTTGTAGGCTTTTGGAAGGACTTGAGGGTAAATATTGGACTGCAGCCAATGCTGCAACTATGGGGAAGAAGATGCTTAGGGAGATCGATCGAGTATTTTCTACTGTCTCATCAGATAGTGGACTTGCAGCACCACAGCAAGATGTCAGTCCCAACGCCGATAAGAGTTTATCAATAAATGATCACAACATATTAATAACAAGTACTGGCAATCGTAAGTCTTCCTTTTCCTTCTATCTGTTCCCTACCTGGCACTACCAATTTTATCGGACAAATCTAATGAGCGAGATAGAGCTGGTCGTGCCCACCGTTATTAACACTCAAATGGCCACCCCATCCATTGCTCCTATCTATGGTGGGCAAATGCAACACTTCGATCCGTCACTTTTTAACCTTAATGCCACCGGAGATATAGACTTATTTTCCATGTTTGACCCTTCCTTCGACCTTGACGGTTTCGATGCTTGTCTGGAAGGCAATCTAAACCCCGGGCTTCCTACTCCTGCTACTTTTCCATAATGAAAAAGTTAAACCTTCTCAGACTGCGAAGGAAAATTTGCAAATATATTTCCAAGACCCACAAGGAGAGGTGTAATTGCGTTTCTAAAGAATATCGCCAGCATATCATCTGATTACACATTCTGACGAGGACTATACATCACTTGGTAGATGTCCATAATGATGGCATTGAATCAATATATCGTCCTTCTTGCACGCCTGAGAGTTACCTGGTAGACTTTCGATGTGGGAGAGGTGGGGTTGACCTGGGAGAGGACGGCTATACTTATTTCCATAAACGTCGAGGTGTTCGTGGCATAGGTTTCGTAGTCTGTACACAACAATCTGATGCACTCCGGTTCAAAATGAGCCACATGAGAGTTAGAAGTCAGAAAAATGCTTCGGTTCAGGATATTTACTGCCTGAATTAGCCTCTACTTTTGGGAGCTGGAATCAAGGATAGAGTCTGATGCCCCAAGAATATTTGGCTTTACAACTGCAAAAGTCGGATTTCCTATAATGACCTATATCACACTACTTAATGGATAATATTGTCACTATCAAAAGTCACACATGGAATAGACAACTATCTACCTACCTCCCTAGGTATTCCTCGAAGTGTTGGTCCCTCTCATCATGTGAGATTGCGTTTGCTTACATAACCAAGCACGTCTTTTCCATCCACCTTCCTATTTTGATCATTGCTGCGGACGACAACTAATGATCATCATTTTCATTCCAACGTCCAACGTCTCCCTTGAACATCTTCATCGTAAAAATTAGTTCAATTGTTGACTTAAATACCACTCAAGGCCTCAAATGGCATCGCATGAAGTCGTGTATCCATCCTTCCTCGAGTTCTAGATTTGACTGATGCAAGCTCGTCATATTCTCCCGGCTGAACTCTCTGCCAAATTTTTCCTCGCCCCTTCAGGCTATCTCAGAACTCCAATTCTCACGTTGATGTCCGTCTCAAGATCTTCCGGTCGTCTGGCCTAAACACGTCTAGGATGTCTTGATGCTCAGCCCGCGACTCTGACGAAAGACTATATCGCAAGGACACGATTGACACGATGCGTTCTCATGTCTATATCAGACCACTGGTTTACGGCTCTGGAATATCAATTCAACTTGCTGTTTGAATCAGCTTGGTGATTAGTGTTTGCACCGCCGTTACCAATACTCCAAAAGTTCATCACACACATTTTTTTGGATAGAAGATGCATCGCCTCTCTCAGGCCTACGGGCTCAATATACACAACAAGGGGCGAAAAGGATTTGCTAATGTAGCTGGGATATTCCTCGGCTTTGAAGCGACACTCGATACATGATTCAATTCCAAGAGATCCGCCACCGCCACCACCTGATACATTGTCATACTGATGAGTTTTACGCAACGGGTGAAGAATAATCTCATGTGATATATCATGACTTAGCCATTGGGAATACTCTCCTTCAAGGGTAGCACATTAGAGTCAGTTTGTTAGTATGTTACTAGTCCTGGCGTCGATTCCTCATAATAGATAATTCTCATGTTGATTGCATGCAATTGAGGAATACCAGGCAATGTCAATGCTTAGTCAATTTAGCACTGATGAAAGTAGAGTCCCAACTTTAGTATGCTTTAGTTCCACGAGAACGTTGTGCTCGTCGCCAAGTCAGTTGGGAAACCAATTGCTGTTCTAAAGCACTCGCTGACGCCGGGTATCGTGATTGAGCGTCATATTGGAACGGCCTAAATGATTGGTATCCACTGCATCGCTCTTTGTATCTACCAATTAAAATACTGGTCGATTGAGCTGCGCAACCAGCAGACGTAAACTAGGAGATGAGTTTAAAACGCTCAATCCTTGAAAGCGGAAACCGTCAGCCATCAATTCATCAAAGATATCACGAGGGTCGTGGACGAGCTTATGCATAATGCATCACGCATTGGCATGCGACCGACTGGGATTTTACACCTCTAATATCCTGAATATATCTGCTTGTGGCTCACAATGGCTTCAGAATCCGTGGCGACGAGCGAATAATCGTACAAAGAACCATTCTTACGATTGTATGATTTTATTGGCTTGTTGTACGAACGAATCATTATTTGTGCTAAACCTCAACCACACCACTCAGATCACAACTTGATTAGCTGCGGAACTTATGCATGCATTTCACACTCAAGTGATAAGTATGGAATATCGATTACTTCAAGAATAATGAGGTACCTAATCTGGACAACAGGTTCAATTTGATTGGTCTAAAGGGAAAATTGAGCATGCAACCTTGTCTTCTTTTCCTTCCTAAATCCGCCTTTTTGAAGATTGCATCTCTAAATTTTACTTGCAGCTAGCCCAAATCCAGGGATCCACTCACATCCGCATTTGCCAGTGCTAGAATTGTATACAGGACGTTTTTCAGCAATGCAGACAATATCCCGGCAGCTTCTGATAGGTCTTGGCTTAACGTGCTTTGGCTCAAGACCTGGGATCCATTGACATTCGCAGAGCCCTGTTGTTCCGTTGATCGTAGGTTGCATTTCTGAAATACAGAAGATATCAAGGCATGGAAGTATTGGATCTATAGCTGGCTCAAGTCCAGGAATCCATTCACAGGTACATTTGCCTGTCTTGGAATTAAAAACAGGGTGTTTCTCGGAGATGCAGAATGTATCAGAACAGGTTTCATCCCTAATAGGTGTTATCGTATTGTTTGGCTCCAATCCCGGAATCCATTGACAGGAGCATGAGTTGGTTGCTTGATTGTATGTAGGTCTCTGTTCTGCAATGCAGAAGAGATCGGGACAATCGGAGTCGCATCCACACTTTCTGGTTTCTGGGTGATATACGACATGGTTTCCTTCCCGGCATTTGAACTGTGGGCAAGTTGGAGGAATTCGGTTATCAACTTCGCAGGTACATTTCTTTGCGTAGGGCTTAAGAACTTTGTGGGCACCGCCGGCGCAGAATATTGTGTTAGGGCATACCGGAGAGTTTGGTTCGCAAGTACAGCTTTTGGTATCGAGGTGATAGACAGGGTGAGTGGGAAATCCGCACCGAATTAATGGACAAGTCGATGGATCGACTTCAGGATTAGGCTCGCATTTGCAAGTTGAAGTAGCAGCATTCCAAACCGGATGCGATCCTACCAAGCATGTCGTTGCAGCAATGCAAGTAGCCTCGGTTTGATTGGGAATGCAAGAACAACTTTCGGTTGTGGAGTCCCATAGAGGGTGATGTTCTGAAATACAATTGGTTGTTGTATAACAAATTTTCTCCCCATCATCCAATTTGCAAGAGCAAACTTTGGTTTTGGGATTCCAGAATAAATGGGTCCCAGGAGTACAGAATATCTTAGGGCATCTCGCAGGACTATCGGCTCTTGCTTCTATGAAAGGTTAGTATGAATCTGGCGAAGAAATCTACTTGAAGGTACGTACCAAGTGTGGGCCCCGGAGCTGCTAACACGCCACTTAGCCCTACAACAAGGAGATAGAACAAGGATGTTGAGCGCATATTTTCGAAACTTGAGATAAACAGAAGTCAAGAGAAGAGAGACTATCTGCTGCCAATTGCGGGTCCAAGCTGTCAAGGATTTTTGGATTTTTGAAGATGTAAATCAAAGACTTTGAGTTTGAACTTTAACATATTGAAGCTTCAATCCTTTATAGCATTTTTGTACAATTCACAGATTGTGCCACAATCATCTCATACCGACTTGACATAGCTGATCTCAGCAAACACAAATACGAGCCTCTTGGCAGCTCAAGAATGCTAAGATGCCAAGGCCGAGCTGTGCGGAATCGCGTCCACTTAAGTACCCCGCATCCGCCAAGATGCAAGGGACCGGGATACAATTCCTGTCAGGATCCATTATGTCACGAACCGAAAAACAGGTGATGCGAAACCTGAGTGAGAACCCAGGATGACACTAGAATTTGCCAATACCAGTTTGAAGATGTTCTATGCATTCCTATGCGCCAAATATCAGCTGTGCCCGCGCTCCGCCATGAGGCTAGATTGTGTGTGATATGGATCGCCTTCGTAAAGAATGCTTGATATATGTATCCCTTACTTCATGTCATTACTTCTCGCCAAGTCTTCGGCTGGATGAGAATAGTTCTTCCATATCCTCCAGGCTCCAGCCCTTTGTTTTACTTTACGTTACTTTTTCATCAAGATCCTAATTTTCTATTCTTTCAATGGCTTGTCATACGTTTTACGACGACGTCATTCTACCGGTAGAGTATCCGGTAAAGTATCCGGTATCAAATCTTGCATATTCGGTTAACTGCATCAACAGCATGTTTACTCGGCAAAATGAGCTCGGATATGCAGCCGTACGAATTTTTCACGGTTCGATGGCTTCTCATGACGTTTATGTTTTTTCGGCTCAAGAACGCCATTACGAAAGGACCTTTTAGTTTCCAAGAATCATGTTATCATCTACATAGGCCGAATATGAGACGAGTAATCGTGTAGAGTCGCCAAATAGTAAGATAGAAGTTTATATCACAAAATAACTTGCTCCTGAAAAAGTGGCATGTCCAATGAAGACCGTATTTTGCCCTGTGTGTCTGCGCTTGGCCTCCACATTCATTTTCACTTGTCTTCAGATGACATTTATACAGGAATGGCATTGAAATTCCACCCATCTTCAACCTTTGAACACCCTTAGATGGAGGTTAATATCGGAGTAATCCGGAATAACTCATCCCCTCGTATTTACGTACCCGAATCTCCATTCCAGGTTCGGAATTAGCAGCGCACCACTGCATTTTTTCTCCTGGCCCAAATACGGTGTATCTCTCTCAGTTTTTTTTCTTATCTTCCCGTACCTTTCGTTGTAAGCTCTTCAATCCCATACTTTCATCCAGGTTCTAGATCATTCTCTAGATCTCTAGCAAATGTTTCCAATGTCCTAGCAACTCTAACCATCCTCTCTTTACCTCGGTCATAAAGCTCGGTAAATAACTAATGCTGGCATTGCCTTATAATGAGCATCATTCCACACTTCTTGATGGTTTTCAAATATCGAAGCGAGCTCTAAGAGACCTGCGCAAATTTTTGTACGAGAGGATTTGGTCTGCCCCATTGGTCAATACGAGCGATTAGTCAATGGGACGTTTTTTTGACCAATGTGGCAGACCAGATTGACCCGAGTTTTGATAGATCGATGCAAAGCTTTGTCCTGAGGCATATTCAGTGGGCAGAGTGGCCAATCAGTCAGTCAGCCAGTCACCTATCGGCTATCAACTAAGTCTCAATTCCCAGCTGACTCGCTGACGATATATTGGGATCGCCGCTGACCAGCCAACGTAATCTTTACATAATAATAAAATGCACTCCTCCCCTCCCCATCTACCCCTCCCCATCTTTTCCTTCCCCCTCTACTCATTCTCTCTCCCTTCTCTTTTCCCCTATCTTCCTCATTCCACTCTCTTTCGTCTTATCCCCTTCCCCTTCTTCCCCTCTCTTTCTCCTTTGACCTTATCCCTTGCCCCCTCCCTTCTCCATTTCCTTCCTTTTCACTTTTCATCTTTTTCTTTTTCTAATCTATCAAAAATTGAAAATTTCGAAAATGAATTCAAAATATATTAAATATATTCAAAATAACCTCAAAGTAGCCTCAAAAATGCCTCAAAATCAAAAAATCTTCAAATCCTCTTAGCTGTTAAGCTAGCTGTCTACTAAGTTACTACTTAGTTGACTTGCTGATGATATGGAAGCTCTAGCTTACGGACTTACACTAATAGCTAACAGCCATCGCTTTCAGCTAGCTGACTAGTTGGCCACTGAATCAGTGCGAGCTTGTGATATGACATTGGTTTTTTGTCGATCCTCTCTGTATCAAATCAATCAGGTCGGTCTATCAGGCACCAGAAGATAATATCATCGCCAATTCTAAAAGATTCGAAATGTGGCGCTAAAATTGATGGCGGGATATGAATCTATTCTCCATGCTAGCCTTGAGTCTCCGAACAAGTGTTGACATTCCCCGATTCAACTTTGGAAGATTCCCCGGTCTGTTGATGGAGTATCGATGCGTATTTGATTCTATATCGGGGCTATATGTTTTCTCTGTTGCTTTCATTGAAGTTTTGCATATTTGAGTCTATATTCCTCATCTTCTGTGTTGTTTCGTTTTCTGATTCATTGTATAATATTCGTCAATATTTTCTCGCTGAACAATCGAATCTGACCAGATAGCTGCTCCGATTTCTGCACTTTTTTATAAGTTTGTGGCTAATTTGGAAGATTTCCTTCTCTTCTGGTGTACGATACGATTGACAGCATTCCTTATTCGTGCAATCTCATCTACTAAAGACTTTGGTCCATTGTTTAATGGTCAGATGTTCAATGGTCTGTGGTATTATCGCTACTCTATGTGTATTCATCTTGTACTCTCACTCCTTTACTTGATTTTATAGTAAAATAATACAAAGATCTTATGGCCAAATCGCAGTACTCCCTAAAAGACGCGGATTGCGGTTGCACGTCTTGCTAGCTGGAATGGAATGGGATGGGATGGGATACAAGTCTTTATACTCTAGAGGTTGTACCGTTGTGGATCCCTATTTAGTTGGGGATTTGGGATGTGAGGTGTATAAGTCAGGACTTATTTCTATCGTTGGACAAGATATCAATCACTATTGTGCCGTTGAGTATTACCTCTAGGTATTCCTCAATCAATCTTTTATACACATCAGAAAGATTTCCAGCACTCATGGTCGTGGTCGTCTGATTGTAGGGTAGTTCGGCCAAAGCCGTGTCTTCGAAATGCAGTTCATTTGATGCCTGAGGGGACGCAGTTTTGAGTTCACGGTTGGGGTGATTCCTTGTTAATTCTAAGCATGGACCAATTTATGGACTATCTATCCTATAGTTCAGTTTTGTTGTTCGAAGGCTAGAGAGTTCGTGATGATGTCGGGGAGGAATCTCACATCGTCTAAGAGGGCTTAATACGGATACATCAGCTAGCTATATGTCACGATATTGTATACTGCTCGGCCTGATTCAGAAATTTATCTACAATTAAGTGAATTGATGGAGCCATATTTCAGCGTTTGAGATGTGCACCAAGTTATAATATCGCGATGCTTTGGTATTGGTCGGATGTCGATGGTTTCAACAATAAGGTGTTGTAGTCTGGATACATGGTCTCATCTGTATCTGTATCTATATCGATCTTGCTTGTGTATGGATTTCTGATGGGCTCGAGAAAAGGAGAATGAAATATCTCGTGTCTTTTTAGGTGGTCAGTGTTTAGTATTTGATCCGGATCTTTTTTTTTTCTCAAGAGCAAGGTCTGAGAAGTAGGGTATCGAACTAATAAGGATGTTACTCCTATCCCCGACTCAATCAATACGTGCAATAACTTTTGGTATATCAGGGATAAAGAACAAAACTGAGGTGGCATATGATTTGACAATTAATACTCGTACTGATGTTATACTGACTTGTAATAGCGAAGCTCGGATGTAATACATCCTAATACTCATTCTTACTGACCCACTCTCTGTACTTCCCTGCCTCAACATCTTCAACTCCTCTACCTTGTCATTGGTTATTTATAGCAATAGCCTTTTTCTTCTCTATACTATCCCATTGATTTCTTCTCAGAAAATCTAAGTTGGGTAGGTAGAGTAGATGCAGCCATTAACGCTCGCTAACTTGAATGAACTTGAGCTTGAGTACTTCACGCATGAGTGGTGAAGCAGTGGGGACAGATGGTTTCTTGTTTGAGATTTGATGGTGTAGTAGTTTTGGATTGAGTTAGGTGAGGAGGGGGGGCGAGAGAGAGATGAGAGGGCGGGAAGATGGTGGGGTGGGGAGTTGGATCACTTTGTCCCGGCCGAAGTCGTGATAGCGGACTCGGAGGGCGAAGGAGAAGGATGAATGGGTTGTGCTAGTTGGTGTTGAGGTCGGTGAGTAGGCGCCGTGTATATAGAGGTTTATGCATTTGAACTTTAGACCTTTTGGACTTGCTGTATTATGTACACACCTAGCTTCAAAAACTTCACTTACATAAAATAATAAAATCACAAAATTGCGTCAAACTTCTGAATCAAATCGAAGCATTGTTTATAGAAATAGATCTACGAGTACTGATTACTAATAACCGATTACGAAGGCTTATGTCTCAAATTCATTCCAGATTTATTTGTTTTTTATAATATTTAAGGTATCTGGAAGGAATGTACTTGAAGAGAATAGAAGTCTGTGAAGAACATCTTCAATAAAAAGGTGGTTTTCTCAAAAGCTAGTTGTACACGTAGTAACAAAGCCTTTCGTTGATTATTACGCTCGCTTATATGAGAAAACGATAACAACACTGCTTTGAATTACAATAAAAGACAGCGAAACCATAATCAAAGCAGAACGATAGTAACCAGGACTATCGATACTTGCTGAGTATAACCCCAAAAGTCTTATTCTGTGTTTCCTTGTAAGATTACATCCTGAGACCCGAAATATACACCCAATGTCCGTATGTAGTGTAGACACTTGAGACT